ATTAGTAGAATGTGTCCTTTTATTTAAAACGCACCTCTGGGTTATTTATGGGGCCTGCCTGGTGTTTTGACATGAGTAGAATGTGTGCTTTTATTTAAAATGCATCTCTGGGTTATTTGTGGGGCATAGGAATTTATTCATGTTTTTTTCTCAAAATATAGTCCGGCCCCCAACAAGGTCTGAGGGACAGTGGACTGGCCCCCTGCTGAAAAAGTTTGCTGACCCCTGGACTAGACCAGGGGTAGTCAACCTTTTTATACCTACTGTCCACTAATGCATCTTTCTTGATGGTAAAATTTCCTTACCGCCCACCAGTGCTCGATGGAAGGAGGATTCAGCTTGCGCCGTAGAACCCCCTACAGCCCACCTAGAATCCTGAAACGTCCACTAGTGGACGGTAGGGACCAGGTTGACAACCCCTGGACTAGACCCTTGGGGGTTTCTTCCAACTCTCTTATGATTCTAGGAGCAGAACTCAGATACCTTTCCCTCCCTATTGCTCCCAGGGGACAAGGCAGGGCCTGGACAGGTACCAGGGCTGTGAAACCAGAAGGGCTAGTCCAAGACATTTTGCTGCCTGAGGCCAACACGGTACCTGCACCCCCATGCCCATTCCATGCACCAAGAAGCTGATGGGATTTAAGGCTTGTCAAAGTGCCCAGATGGCCATGCACACCAGGCAGGAATCAGAAGAGCTGAAGGAGTGATGCTTTCGTTAGAGTGTGATGCTCTCACCAGAGAGATGTCCGACAGAGGCTGGGTCTTTGGCTGCAGGCAGGTTCTCCAGCAAAACCCTGGATTAGCATCAGGGAGGCAGGGACAGACCTTGATTCAGGGAAAGGAAAAGCACAGGGGTTTTTAAAAAATTGTTGTTTAAGCCCAAATGTTTCATTGATGACACAACTGGGAAATTTGTTGTGCTAAACAGTCAGGCACGTAATCCCAGCGTGTCTGTTGCCAGTGGTGAACTGAGTGCGTGCAAAGACGCACTCCAGCTGTCTTCCATCTGCATGCACATCCCAGTCTATTTTTCACGGATACACGGCTGCACGGACTCCACCCTGATGTGCTGTTGCGCGCATGCACACACATACTCCCCCCCCCCCCGTGAGAAATGAAGACCGAGTGGAGCGGAAGGAAAAACTCAAGTCTGCGAGACTCAGAAATACAACTATTTTAACATAGAAGCACTGCAAATAAGGAAGTCTGGAGCGAAAGTCTGGCAGGGTTGCTGAGTAGGTACTGAGAGAGCACGCTAAATTGAGACATGATTACATGTATTCTAATTTAATTTATTTATTTTATTGCATTTCTATCCCATCCTTTTCTCCCAGGAGCTGCTCTCAGAGCCTTTTCAGCTGAAGATCGGGGTACAAATGCTTCATACAATAACCAATCAATCAAACAAACAAACAAACAAACGGCAGCATATGTGGTTCCCCCTCTCCTTATTTAACCCCCACGACGACAACCCTGTGAGGTAGCCTAGTCTGAGGGGCAGCGACTGGCCCCCACCGAGCTTCGTGGCTGAGCGGGGATTTGAGCCCTAGTCTCTCAGGTCCTAGTCCAACACTCTAACCACTACGCCATACTGTTGGTGTGGTAGCAATACACTCCAGCATCTCAGCCCAGTGCAGGAGGCTTTGCTTGTGTGTTTGTGTGCTGTGCCCATGGGGGCTGCAGAGATGGAGGTAGTACCGGGGGGTTGCGGAGGAGGCAGTAATTGTGGGGGGGAGGCTGTGGAGGAGGCGGCAGTGGCGGGTGTGTGTGTTGCATTTTCTGGTTTTTCTCAGCAGTGGCGTAGCGTGGGGGGTGCAGGGGGGCCGGCCGCACCGGGCGCAACATCTGGGGGGGGCGCGCTCGCCGCCTCCGGAGTCGCCGAAGAGCCTCGGGCGCAGGCTGTAGCAGAGCCCCATGTCTCGCGGAACCGACGAGCTGGCAGCAGCTCTCAGCGCTCGCTGCGGTCTCCGCGCGCCAGGGCCGCGGAGGGCGCGCCAGGCAGCCCCTCCTCACAGCCCCGCCGCCACCGCTGCTGCTGCAGCTGCTGGGCCATGTTGCATTTTCCTCGCCTCTCTGCCCTCCTCCTCCGGGCAAGCGGCGTCGTTTGGGCGGCAGCGCCACCGGCAACTTGCCTCAGATCACCTGTCATGGACCCCCCGCCGCCGCCGTGGTTACCTTACCGTAAATACCCCAGCCCAGGCAGCAGCAAGAAGAAGCTGGCAGCGGCGGCAGGTTAGGGGTTAGGGAGCGCAAATTACTTGCCTTGCCCCGGGTTAGGGGGCACAAATTACTTGCCTTGCCCCGGGTGCTGACAACCCACGCTACGCCGCTGTTTCTCAGGCAAACAGCGAAACATCCTGGGTCAGCCCTGACTTCATCCCATAGCATGGCGAGGGCACTCAGGAGAGATTGTGCCATTGTCACCCCCCTCTCCATTCCAGAGTGAGACAAGAACCTTGAAAGGGTGTTCTGGTCATGTGAACCAGGAACTCCTGGGATCACTCAGGAACCTACCAGGCCCCATAAGTCTCCAGGAGCAGATCATCTCAGTGGATCCCCTACCCCTGGCAGAGCGGAGGAGCCATGCACAGCCCAAACATTACCAGGTCGTGACCCGTCCATTAAAAGAACTCACCATGTAATGAATTGAAAAAAAGTGTTGAAAAACACATTTATTAAAAAAACCAGAAGCCTTTTTACTTAGTATAGTGGGGGGTGAAAGCCTCAAAAAGGATGTTACTTTTTTTCTGCATGCCACAACAGCTCTGCTAGCAAAGAATTGGAAGAAATAAGATTTACCAACTATTGAAGATTGGCAGATGAAGATGATGGACTATATGGAACTTGCCGAACTGACCGGGAGACTCCGAGACCAGAGAGAGGAGACGGTGGAAGAAGACTGGAAGAAGTTTAAGGAATATTTGAAAAAAATGTGTTAATATTTAAATCTTAGAATAGCTTTGGAAGTGGATATAAGCGGTAGGGTTAGAAGTGGAAGATAGGGTATTTTATAAGTGATAAAATGTGAAGTTTTTTGTGGTTAACGTAAGTGTGTGTGGGGGGGGAAGATGGTTAGAAATTATGATATATATAAACTGCTAAAGATGAAGTAAAATGAAAAGGTGGGACTTGGGGAAGCCCACTTAATGTTTAGAAAAATAAGGATATGACAAGAATTTGTTTGTATTGTTTGTCTTTTCTGTTTGTGTTTTTTTATTTGTGTTATAAAATGAATAAAAAAATTTTTGGGGGGAAAAGAACTGACCATGAACTCTCCCTCCAGTCAACATCGTGCCACTGATCCACTCTGTGGCAAAGACCAGGTCGAGGTGATGTTTCTCCACAAGGGCCAGGTGGGTGATGTATGGAGACAGCCCAGGGTTGACCAGGAGACCAGGAAGTTCTGAGGCGACCTGCTGGGATGCTTCACATCCCCATCCCCTTTAACCCAGACCCAGTGCAGGTTGGCTTCCTAGCAGGGGAGATGGATGGATGGCTTTGTTTTTTTAACCTGCCTTTCACCACGAGACACTGTACCTCTGACCTGCAATGGTGTTAAGACCCTACGACCCCGAGAAGAGCTTGCTGGATCAGTCCAGCATCCCGTTCTCACAGTGGCCAACACTCTCCCCTCCTGTGGTTTCCAGCAACTGCTGTTCAGAAGCATTGGTGCCTCCAATTGCAGAGATACAGCATAGCCACTGTGGCTAGTAGCCATCAAAAGTCCTCTCCTCCATGAATTTTCCTGATCCTCTTTTAAAGCCATCTAGCTTGGTGTCCTGGGACGCGGGTGGCGCTGTGGATAAAACCTCAGCACCTAGGGCTTGCCAATTGAAAGGTTGGCGGTTCGAATCCCCGCAGCGGGGTGCGCTCCCGCTGCTCGGTCCCAGCGCCTGCCAACCTAGCAGTTTGAAAGCACCCTCGGGTGCAAGTAGATAAATAGGGACCGCTTACCAGCAGGAAGGTAAACGGCGTTCCGTGTGCTGCGCTGGCTCGCCAGATGCAGCTTTGTCACGCTGGCCACGTGACCCGGAAGTGTCTCCGGACAGCGCTGGCCCCCGGCCTCTTGAGTGAGATGGGCGCACAACCCCAGAGTCTGTCAAGACTGGCCCGTACGGGCAGGGGTACCTTTACCTTTTAGCTTGGTGTCCAAGGGACGCAGGTGGCGCTGTGGGTTAAACTACAGAGCCTAGGACTTGCTGATCAGAAAGTCGGCTGTTCGAATCCCCGCAATGGGGTGAGCTCCCGTTGCTTGGTCCCTGCTCCTGCCAACCTAGCAGTTTGAAAGCATGTCAAAGTGCAAGTAGATAAATAGGTACCACTCCAGCGGAAAGGTAAACGGCGTTTCCATGTGCTGCTCTGGTTCGCCAGAAGCGGCTTAGTCATCCTGGCCACATGACCCGGAAGCTGTACGCCGGCTCCCTCGGCCAGTAAAGCGAGATGAGCGCTGCAACCCCGGAGTCGGCCACGACTGGACCTAATGGTCAGGGGTCCCTTTACCTTTAGCTTGGTGTCCATTGCTGCCTCCTGTGGCAGAGAGTTCCATAGTTCATGCACAGGGTACATTGGACCACCCAGCTTACCCAACCAGGCCTTTGCTATACACGCCAGGCTGGGCCCTGACACCCGAGAGAAAATTGTGGGAGGCAGATGTTTGATTGTGGGCAGATTTGGCACTGAGCACCACCACCTCTAGACCAGATGCTGGGCTAACAGGCAGCCTCAAATTCAGGCACATAGGAGTGAATCGGGGGGGGGGGGAGGACAAGGACTCTAGCGCCGCAACCCCGGAGTCGCCGCAACCCCGGAGTCTTGGGCTGCCTTGGCTCCAGACCAGCCTCTCCCTCTTGCGGTCTGGCCAAAGGGACACTCCTACCCTCTTTCGGAAGGCCATTCTCTTTCCGTCTGGCTTGTTCAGTTGGGTGTCGGAGGTACAATTTACAAACAGCAGTTAGAAGCCAACCTTACATACCAGATAATTTATTAAGATGGGCCGTCAGGCAAAAAAATAATTATTAAATTATTAATAAATACTTGCAATAAATATACAACAGAGAACGGCAGAGTCGAAAGGGACCCGAAGGGCCATTTAGTCCAGCCCCCTGCGGTCCTCATTATCCACTGCTTTCTTGGCAACTGCCACGTCCTTCCAGAGAAAGGAGGCAAGTGTTGCGTTGTCTCAGTGACGGGACTTTCCTTCTCACAGAGCCAGGAGGCTGAAATTTGTCCAAAGGTGCATGTACAGGTTCTGTGCGTCTTGCGCGTTTTATGTGACAATATAATCCACGATGGAGACCTCCCCAATCCGGTTTGTCACGCTGACAGCTTTGTTGACCTGGGCAGATGTGCAGATGTACCACTGAGGAAAGGCAGCTGACTCGAACCTGGTGTAGTCCCCAACTGCAACTCTGTAGAAGAGGAAGCGCCCTTTGTCGGATTTGTCGAGGTCCCCTTCGATGCTGGCCTCCTGCAGGTGGAAAAGGTGAGATTACATCGAAGGAAGTCCACTTTCCAAAGCGCCTACGCTAGCTCCACAACAACAACCACCAGGTCTCAGGGTGGTTCACAACATAAAACCACAACAAAAAAACAGTAAAAACAAGAGCAACCCAAAAACCTCCCCCTCCTCAACACATTTTTAAAGGGCACTGGATGTCAATCGGCCAAAGCCCTAGTTAAAGAATGTTTTGCCTGTGCCTAAGGTGGAATGTTTTTGCCTGGTGCCTAAAGGTGGCGAACTTCCCTGGGGAGAGCATTCCACAAATCGGGAGCCACTGCAGAAAAGGCCCCGTTCTTGCATTGCTTCCTCCCGGACCTCTCAAGGAGGAGGCACGTGAAGAAGGGCCTCGGAAGATGATCTCAGGGTCTGGGTGGGTTCGTATGGAGAGAGGCGGTCCTTTAGGTACTGCGGTCCTGAGCTATTTACTCTGACCATCGCAACAACGAAAGAAGAACCTGCTGGATCAGGCCAATGGTCCACCTAGTCCAGTATTCTGTTCTCACTGTGGGAAACCAGCTAGCAGGATCTAAGCACAAGAGCTCTCCCTCCTCTTGGGATTTCCAGTAACTGGAAGCATAAGCTGTGAAGGAGCCTCTCACCTCCAGCTGAAGTGCTGGCTGGTCTCCGCTCTGCACGCAAGACAGGTACAGTTCCTTCCCTTTGATTTTCAGGGCGATGGGGATCTTCGCTATGCCTTCTCCGATTTTTGGTCGATAGACGTACATTTTCACCCTTGCTGGAAAATGTGAGGACACAGGATTAATAGCAAGAAACGTTTCAGCCCAGCTAGGACCGGCCACCCATAGGAGATGGCTGGTGAGGAACGTCAAGGATGGGGGTTCCTACCTTCTTTGCTGATGTCTGCCTGTTGGAGCTCCAAGGCCACCAGCTGGGTTGTCCCGTTCAGGACAAGGGACTTCTGGTTGACGTCTCTGATGTTGCAGGAGATGCTCCTGCTGAGGTGGTAGATGGGATCTGTGGCATAGGTGCATTCGCAGGTGTCAAAGTCAACTGGTTCTGAAGAGGAAAAGACACTCTGGGTCAAGATCTGCCACTTGCAACACAACAATAAGAGCTGTCCTTCAGTGGAACGTATGATCTCAGAAGGTGGTCAGCTCTCTCCTCCATTGGAGGCTTTTAAACAAAAGATGGATAGCAGGGGTCCTTTAGCAGTGACACCCCACCTGCTGCTGCCCCCACCCTTACCAAGCCAGAGCTGCTCTTTATTTTTGCCCCCACATGGGCACCAGGGGTGGCGTGCGTGCCCTGCACCCAGGAGTGGGGCCAGCTGCCTGTGGGGCTGGGCGAGCCAGGGCAGGACGCTCCGTGGGGCCTCTGAGGAGTCTGCCTGCCTCCTCCCACTCAGCCACCCTATAGCTGAGGGGGAGGCGGCAGGCGGACCATTTGGAGCCTACGGGCACCCAAGCCACTGTGTCACTCCCAGGAGAGACGTGTGGCTTGGGTGCGCTGCAGGCCACGTGGTGAGTGCCACCCAGCATTTTGTCACCCCCCTCAGTGGTGACACCTGGGGCGGCCCGCCCCCCGCCCCCTTCCTCTGCCCCTGCCCACATCTTAAAGGGCACACGGAAACGCCGTTTACCTTCCCGCCGGAGCGGTACCTATTTATCTACTTGCACTTTGACGTGCTTTTGAACTGCTAGGTTGGCAGGAGCAGGGACCGAGCAACGGGAGCTCACCGCGTGGCAGGGATTCGAACTGCTGACCTTCTGATTGGCAAGCCCTAGGCTCTGTGGTTTAACCCACAGCGTCACCTGTGTCCCTTGCCCACATCTTATTCAGTGCTAACTCCCAGAAGTGTTTAGGCAAGCAGGAAGAGATCATGGCCTCTGTGTGTCCCTGATCCACCTCAAAGGAAACTGTTTAGGGAAGTTTTTAATGTCTGATGCTCTTTTTTTAAAAAAATATTCAGTTGGAAGCCAGATGGGCGGGGTATAAATAATAAATTATTATTATTATTTTGAAGGGTCCTGCAGTCCAAAGGCTGTTGCTTCCCTCTAAAGCCAGAGGGAGGGCGGAAAAGAACAGCGACAGCAGCTTCCAGTTGGGTCTGCTTGGCCAACAAATGGAATAAAGTGCTTTGTCCTTCAACCACCCCCTGCTGCAGGACGCATCTCTAGGCTCCTCGCTGGGGATTCCCATCGGGATCACACCCAATATGGCAGCCAGCTGGTGTCCCATACTGTACCTAAGACGGAATTGATGATGTCCATCAGGTCGTCATCTGTGAAAAGCGCCCTGGCTTTGGAGGACTTCTTCTTCTTCATCCTCTCAATCGCCACCATAATGATCGCTGCCTTCTGGAAGCCCAGAGATGAAGAGCTGTTGGCGATCTTCACCTGAATGCCCACTTTGCAGGCAGGATGGCTCAGCCCTGGGAAGGTCTCCTGGGGTGGGGGAGCAAAGCAGAGCTCAGCTGAAGTCAAACCATCAGCAGCAAAGTCCCTTCCTGTCCACCTGGGGACAAGAAGTCTCATTCTGCAATTATAAGGACTTGATTATTTCTGTGTGGCGGCCCCTGAACTCTGGAACTCCCTGCTTATTGACATCAGGCAGTACTCTTTCCACTGCCTGAAATTTTATGATATTAAATAAATAAGGCAAAGTGCTGAGGGATGGGGCACCAGGCAACACTCATTGCTCTTCAGGGAGGAGTTGTCTAGCTATTTTGCAAGTCCACCACATGTGGTGAAATGTACCTTCTTTAACATCACACTTCCAACATACATTGGTCGTGTTCTTATACATTTTCGCTAGTCTTGTAGGAGTCAAATACCATCTACACACCATCTTTATATAATTCTCTTTTAACATACAGCAAGCTGTAAATTTCAAGTCCTTATTCCATAACTTCTCCCATGAAGCAAATTGTATATTATATCCCACATCTTTTGCCCAGTGTATCGTTACAGACTTCCTAATCTTTTGCTTCCCGTTCCAGCAACAATTTATACATTTTTGACAGAACTTTCCCATTATTATCTAACAGTTCTTTCTGCACTTGGTTCAGTCTAAAAAGCCGACTCCTTTGTTCAATCTAAAAATGTCATTTAATTGATGATATTGGAGCCAATCAGTTAACAAATATCTCATATCCCCATTTTATTTTATTTATTTACTTTCAATTGATTTTCCTCCTCAATTAACAGTTCCTTATATGTTGGCCATTCTTTTTCCATATTTATTTTTTTCACTGACAATGCTTCTAATGGTGATAACCACCTGGCTGACTAAACCCTTTTCAGGTGTTCATTTCTGCTCATGATCAGGATGGGACAGAGGAGCTTTCTTGAACGGAAGCAGCCTGGAGAAATTCCTTACCTTGGCCAGAGAAGGCCGGTCCTCTTCGTAGAACTGCATCTCGTCCACACTGCAACCAGAAAACAAGAGAAGCAGGTCAGAGACTCCCAGGCAAAAGTCAACATCATTGGAACTAGGCTGGATACGAGCATCGCGCATGACACATTTCTTGGGGTATTTGCTGGCATTGTAAGGGGAGTCAAGGTGTTTGGCAAACAAACCCCAGGGGACACCTTCTGTAACGGCCTCTTTAGGAAAGGCAAAGGCCGTTTTCGCACAGGATCTCACCCACCCTGGTTGTCCAGAAGAACTTCATGTCCAGCGGGATCAATAGAGATACACACACACACAGAATCCCCCTGTCCACTTCCTATGGTAGATCTTCTACCAGGGACTCAGCTACATTAGTTTGTGGTTTTTTTAAAAGCGTTTTAAATGCGTTATAACACTGTGACACCAGATGGCGCTATAGAGTTCGATCCTTTGGCAATATGATTTCCCATTACAGTATGAGCTTTAAACACATTTTCCTGAATTTTATTTTTTAATGTGTCCAGATCCAGCCAAAAACAACACTGGCTGCCTCTGGTCCATGTCCAGACCAAAAGCTGGATTAAAATGGGTCTAGCTCAGCGGTTCTCAAAAGCGGGTGGTGGGATTACCTGGTGTGTGTGTGTGTGTGTGTGTGTGTTTGTGTGTGTGTGTGTTTGTGCGCAAACTAAGAGTCAAGAGGGGCAGGGAGGTATAAATGACTATCTATCTTTGCAAGTTGGCGTCACTGGATCGTTCACCAGTTTTGTCGAATTAATTAAACTGAATAGTTTGAATTGGATGCTGAACAAACGTGCAAATAATTTCTTACTGTTTTGAATGCTCTGCTATTATCTTCCTTTCTGGGTCATGCAAACCACTATTATGAACAATGCTTTTTATAGGGGAGGAGCGCTGGGGGTGAGTTTATGTTGGGAACCACTGGGCTAGGGAATCCACACAATCAATCAATATCTGGACCTGAGAAGCAGGTGGCAGTCATAGTGGCATGATTAATCTCTGCTGGAACCATTGGGGGCATCAGTTGTTCCACCTGCCTTGGACCTATATAAAGGGGAGCTGCTGCCTTAGTGCTAATTCTTGCTGTCTCTTAATGTTTTCACAGGGAATAATCTGTTGCCTTTCTGGCAGGAAAATGAATGTTGTATTTGCTGTTTGGAATATTAAGATTTAGTCTGATTTTTACTGAATTGCTTGCATTGGCATGTTTGCATTTGCATTGTTTGTGAGCTGCCTTCGGGTGTCTTTTTTGCCCAAAAAATACCATAGTGTGTGTGTGTGTGTGTGTGTGTGTGTGTTTGTGTGTCTGTCTGTCTGTCCCTGAGCACCCAGCCCAGCTTCACAGCCTGGGGCCATCAGTGGTGGTTACCTGCAGAAGTCCATCACCTCCTCTTCGCATTCAGGCACTCTAGACATGGGGGCTTTTGATCTAGGGAGAAGAAGGAAATGGATGGAAGTTAGCGAATGCGTCTCACACTGGAGCACCTGCAGAAGAAGGAGAAGCGAAGCTGCTGTTTCGTAACCAGACGAACAAGATTGCGATTGAAACTATGTGCACACTGTGTGGACAGATTACGAGAAGCCCCAGGAAAGGTGCTCTTTCGGCTGTTGTGGTCCCACAGAATACAAAGCAGGGCAGCAAACATGTGCAACTCAAGCAAATTACTTAAATAAAGGTAGAGTTTATGATCTTTGTCGTCTGAAAACAAGCAATTCCCTTAACCACTTAGAAACTCAAGAGAATTTCGATGTGATTTAAGTCAGAGCCTTTGATGAGTAGTCCTGACTCTTCCTTAGCATCCTCCTCTAATTCCCACAAACTTTCATCTCCAGCCAGCAGAGGGAAAGAGAGAATTTTGGGGAGAGAAGAGAACTCTTGAGCGTGCAAGAAAAAAGGAAAGCAGGCAGGTCAAGTGCACAAGTGCCTTCAAATAACTTTAGTTTGCACGAGGAATTTCAGCTTGCAGACTTCCCAGAGTCTTCTGCGAGGAGCTGCAGAGCTTCTGCAGAGAAGGACAGACCCGGGAAGGGGCCGTAACTTAGTGGTTAGAGCACTTGCCAGGCAAGCAGAAGGTCCCAGATTCACTCCCTGCTAGCATCTCCAGGTAGGGTTGGAAGAGACCCCTGCCTGAAATCTTGGAGGGCAGCTGCCAGTCAATGGCCCAGTTTCTTATATTCCTGTGGGCTGGGGCATCAAGGCAGACTGTCAGGTGGCCATGGGCATGTTGCTCTCTCTTCTCCAATAACACCCAACCAATAACCATACAAATGATTTACCATATCTCCGTGGGCCTGAGATACAGCAATTTATAGGTATTGCAAGCCACAGTACTAGCCAAGTGGTTGAAGGCAGCCTTGCCTTCTGAAGGGTCAGGCAAAGCAAGGCTGACCATTTGGGGATGAATCAAGAAGTGTAGAGTGGGAAGGGATCCAGTGGGTCATCGAGCCCAACCCCATGCAGGAATCACAGCTAAAGAAGTTTGAGGTCTCTTCATGAAACCTGCAAGTCTCCCCTTTGACCGCAGACTGTCTCGCCAGAGTGGTGCATGCGCTAGTTATCTCCCGCTTGGACTACTGCAATGCGCTCTATGTGGGGCTACCTTTGAAGGTGACCCGGAAACTGCAATTAATCCACAATGCAGCAGCTAGACTGGTGACTGGGAGCAGCCACTGGGACCACATAACATCGGTCCTGAAAGACCTACACTGGCTCCCAGTACGTTTCCGAGCACAATTCAAAGTGTTGGTGCTGACCTTTAAAGCCCTAAACGGCCTCAGTCCTGTATACCTGAGGGAGAGTCTCCACCCCCATTGTCCAGCCTGGACACTGAGGTCCAGTGCTGAGGGCCTTCTGGCAGTTCCCTCGCTGCAAGAAGTGCGGTTACAGGGGACCAGGCAGAGGGCCTTCTTGGTAGTGGCGCCTGCCCTGTGGAACGCCCTCCCAGCAGATGTGAAGGAAATAAGCAACTATTTTATTTCTAAAAGACAACTGAAGATGGCCCTGTTTAGGGAAGTTTTTAATGTCTGATGCTCTCTTGTTTTTAATATTCAGTTGGAAGCCACCTAGAGTGGCTGGGGAAACCCAGCCAGATGGGTGGGTTATAAATAATAAATTATTATTATTATTATTATTATTATTATTATTATTATTATTATTATTATTATTATACCTCTCCAGTCTTCTCAAGGCAGTTGTTGTGGGGTCTCTTTCCCCAAAGTCAGGGTTGGCAGGGTCCTCTCTGCCCTCCTTCTTCATGAGATGATCTGGCTCAGGTTGGGCCAGTTTCCCTCTCAAACTGGTTCCTTCTTCTCTGCTTCATAGGAATCTGCCTTTCACAGAGAACTGGGTCTACCTGGGTCAGTATTACCTGACTGGCAGTGGCTCTGTGGAGTCTGAGGTAGGAGTCTCTTCCACACTTGCCAGAAGATGCTTGCTGGCAAGGCAAGATGCTCTACCACTTAACTACAGCTTCTTAGAGTTCTGACTCCTAAACCATCCCATTTTCACATGGAACCCTCAGCCAGATGTCTGCCTGGGGGTTCGTTTAATCCTTGCAGAACCTCTTGGCTGACATTTAATGCATCTAATCACAGACTCAGCCTTGCAAGCCAGACATATTCCTCAAGACGACCTCCCTGCAAAGCAATGCAGAAGTTTTACCTGTCCAAGGAAGTCACGCCGGTCTCTTTCCAGAAAGGAGGATTTCTAGCCTTCCAAGCTGCTCCTCTTGCTGTGAAGTGGTCTCTGCTACAGCTGGGATGGCCCTCTTATCTGTTTCTCGGCAGCGGAAGAAGACGTGCTCATGCAAACGAACTTCCCTCTCGTACCTGGGCGTTTCGAAAGCGGCGAAAAGGAACTCTTTTCCTTCCTGCTTCCATGAACAGGAAGCGGTTGCGTTGCAAAATGAGCACAACAACACAAATTGTGAAAGCGCAGAATTTTGTGGGGATTTGCTGTGCTCAGCAGAGGCAAATAACAATAATACCACAAGAAGTGACATCCTGGAGGCTTTCAAGAACTTTGCTTCTGCTGTGTGATGTAATCAGGCCGTTTTGGGATTTTTCCGGCATCCCAGGGGCCCCAGCTGGTGAGGAACCAATGGCTAGGTTGAGTGGTTAGGTCAAGTAGTATTCTTGCAGCCCCAACTCTTTCATGTGGCTTCCCACCTAGTAATCTAACTGAAGGAGAGCTTGGGGAGTTGTTGTTTAATCGTTTAGTCGTGTCCGACTCTTCGTGACCCCCTGGACCAGAGCACGCCAGGCCCTGGCACTGTTTCTCAGACATTGTGGGGGGCCGGACTATATTTTTTGGGGGAAATGAATGAATTCCTATGCCCCACAAATACCCCAGAGATGCATTTTAAATAAAAGGACACATTCTACTCATGTAAAAACACGCTGATTCCCGGACAGTCCACAGGCCGGATTTAGAAGGTGATTGGTCCAGATCAGTTTGACCCTGTGGGGGGCCGGACTATATTTTGGAAAAAAATAATGAATGAATTCCTATGCCCCAGAAATAACCCATTTTAAATACAGTGGTACCTCGGGTTAAGTTCTGAATTTGTTCCGGAGGTCCGTTCTTAACCTGAAGCTGTTCTTAACCTGAAGCACCACTTTAGCTAATGGGGCTGCAGGAGCACGATTTCTGTTCTCATCCTGAAGCAAAGTTCTTAACCTGAGATACTATTTCTGGGTTAGCAGAGTCTGTAACCTGAAGTGTATGTAACCTGAAGCGTATGTAACCCGAGGTACCACTGTAAAAGGATACATTCTACTCATGTAAAAACACGCTGATTCTCGGACAGTCTGCGTGTCGGATTTAGGAGGTGATTGGGCCAGATCCGGCCCCCGGACCATAGGTTGCCTACCCCTGCCCTAGAGAGTGGCTGCTGCCAATCCGTGTAGACAATGCTGAACTAGAGGGACCCCAAGGGCCTGACTCAACATTAGGCAGCTTCTTATGTTCTATTGTGCTCCAGCAATTAGGATGACCCAGAGATTCACCCATCTAGCCCCACAGTCCTGCTAGCGACAGCCTGGCTCGAATCCCAAAAGCCACAGCCTGGTCAGGATTCCAAGTACCCCTTGAGCAAAACTGGAAGTCGGACGTCACAGATGCTGTGTCTGAGCGCATTGCTGGGCACTCCTGGGTGCGCGGTCGCTGCTCGGCTGTGGTCACGACCGGAACCAAACTTCCTCCTTTGCATCACTGCAACCCACTTCCTGTTTCTCTCATTGGCTGGGCTGCATTGTCCTACGTGAGGTTTGACTAGGACTGGCAAGTCTCTCGATTTACATATGTGGGGATTTGTGAAATTGTGACAAGTCCCCCTCTTTCCCCTGCTGACCCAGGAGGAGAGCAGGAATGGTGACTCAGGTGGGTTTCCAGGCTGGCTCCTGCGTTGGGAAAACCCGATCCCCATGCCCAGCGGATGGGGTGTAATGGAAGGGAGGGCCCGGGGGCACTTGGGGGTCTTCTTTTCGTAGCTGTGTTGGAGCTCAGGGAGCGGAATTTGCAGTGAGAGCCGTTTTGTGCATCTGCTGAATAAAGAATTAAAAGGTAAAGGTATAGGTACCCGTGACCATTAGGTCCAGTAGCAAATGACTCTGTGGTTGCATTGCTCATCTCGCTTTACTGGCCGAGGGAGCCGGCATTTGTCCACAGACAGTTTTTCTGGGTCATGTGGACAACATGAATAAGCCGCTTTTGGCAAAGAAAAAAGAAAAAAAGAGCAGTGCACAGAAACGCTGTTTACCTTCCCGTCAGAGCAGTACCTATTTATCTACTTGCACTTTGACGTGCTTTCGAACTGCTAGGTGGGCAGGAGCAGGGACCGAGCAACGGGAGCTCACCCCAGATTCGGACTGCCCACCTTCCGATCAGCAAGCCCTAGGCTCTGTGGTTTAGACCAGTGTTCCCCAACCTTGGGCCTCCAGCTGTTTTTGGACTACAACTCCCATCATCCCTCGCTAGCAAGACCAGTGGTCAAGGATGATGGGAATTGTAGTCCAAAAACAGCTGGAGGCCCAAGGTTGGGGAACACTGGTTTAGACCACAACACCACCCACGTCCCTTTAGGTATAAATAAAGGCAAAGGGACCCCTGACCATTAGGTCCAGTTATGAATGACTCTGGGTTTGCGGCACTCATCTTGCTTTACTGGCCGAGGGAGCCAATAAAGCGAGATGAGCGCCGCAACCCCAGAGTCGGCCACGACTGGACCTAATGGTCAGGGTCCCCTTTACCTTTACCTTACTTTTCTGTGTATAAGACGCCCCCTTGTATAAGATGCCCCCTATTTTGGAGGACTCCAAATTAAGAAAAGGGCCCAGAATTGTTGCGCTTTTTTTGGGAGAGGACGGTCCAAAGTTGTTGAGGAAAAATGGCATGAAGTTGTTCAGCTTTTTTACGGAGGGTTTCTGAGAGTTCTTGAACTTTTTTTTGGGGGGGGGGTTGACAAAGGTTGTTGCGTTTTTTTTGGGGGGGGGAGCAGTAAATAACTAACCCGATGGTTACAATCACTCGCACATTAATTTACAGTAAAAAAAACCTGTATAGTCTTATACACAAAAAGTATGGTACTTTGTGTGTCAGGGTCTAATTTTTCCCTTTCCTAAAATTTATTTACTGGTGTGTGGTTTTCTTTATGTAAATCTAACTAAGAATAAAATAAAATAGGGATTAATGGGGTTTTTTTCTGGACGGTGGGGGTGCAGTTGGTGTCGTGGTGGTGGCACTTTCCCCGGGGTGGGGGGCTCTGTGGGGTGGGGGGCAAAATGCGGTGTTGAGGAGGGTCAGTTGTGGGGAGTGAGAAATGTCCCTGTTTTCATCTGGGGAATGTTGGAGGGAATGTGCTCCCTACTCTGTAAAAAGTGTTATGCAGAATAGCAGTTTGCATGGCCCACTAAGGAAGATAAAATTCAAGACAGGAATGACGAATTGCGCATCTATTCAAAATAAATACATAAAATACATATATGCTCCAAACTAATCTTTTGGCTAAAAACAGAAGAAAGAAATATTGCCTGAGAAGTATTCTTACGCATTCTTACTAACGAAAAGTTAAGGGCGAAGGAAATTTATAGCATAAAATATTTATATGCAACTACTTACCAAATATGCACAAACCTTCAGCTGCCGCAGATGTACGGTAACTAATTCATAAGGAAATCAATAGCTATTTCCAATAATTGGCTATCTTGTGACTTGTGGGAACTCAGCATCATAAATACAAACAAACGTGTCCTCAAGAAATGGCTTTGAAACCGGTAAGAGGAGGAAAACTCTTAAATAGGAAGCAAAGGAGGGCATTTTGCTCGAAGCTCTGGTCAATTGCGAATAAGCCACACACCTGCCTGGGTCCTTGTAGGGCCTTTAGCATCACACCTGCGCTAGGCCCCATAAACCTTCTGGGGGTCCCTGCAAAACTGACCCTGTGTGTGTGTGTGACCAAAGGCTTTCCTCCTTGCCCAGGGCGCTATTGACCTGAGAGCTCCCCCTGCTCCCCCTCTTCTCTGCTGATTGGAGAAACATGGATTCGGTAACGTAAAAAGTTGCCCTTGTGCTGCCATTTGCACGAGTATGTCAATCAGATGCCAGGGAAGATGGAGGCTGGAGGAGCTCTGAGTGCCCCCTGTTATTTGTTGTTGCTGTTTAGTCATTTAGTCATGTCCGACTCTTCGTGACCCCATGGACCAGAGCACGCCAGGCACTCCTGTTTTCCACTGCCTCACGCAGTTTGGTCAAACACATGCTGGTAGCTTCGAGAACACTGTCCAACCATCTCATCCTCTGTCATCCCCTTCTCCTTGTGCCCTCCATCTTTCCCAACATCAGGGGCTTTTCCAGGGAGTCTTCTCTTCTCATGAGGTGGCCAAAGTATTGGAGCCTCAGCTTCAGGATCTGTCCTTCCAGTGAGCACTCAGGGCTGATTTCCTTCAGAATGGAGAGGGGTGATCTTCTTGCAGTCCATGGGACTCTCAAGAGTCTCCCCCAGCACCACCATTCAAAAGCATCCATTCTTCGGCGATCAGCCTTCTGCCCCCTGTTATATCTGTCTCTAAAATTTGTATAGCACTGCGTCGTTGAAATATATTCAACGCCATAAAAACATTAGGCTGCAGGGGACCAGAAGAGTTCAGTTAGCATAAGTGTTCAGCTGCCACTTTTATTTTGAAAATGCCCAATGTCCCTGAATTATGCCTTGTTAATTCTGAGTCCATCAGAACTTGTTAAGCAAAGGGGAGTGGAATAAAGCATCTGCCTGGTGTTGAAGCTGCCGTGTGTCCACACAGGCAAACAATTCATTTTTCTTTGTGTGGCTTTAGAAGCAGGCACGGCAAAGGAGGCTGCCATGGTGAGAGCCCCTTGCTCTTCAGGGCTTCCCACTGCATGGCATACAGGCACACTGAGGACTAGCGCCGCCAACAGGCTGTGTTGGATATGAGGTTAAGGCAGCTCTTTCCCAAGACTGGTTTCCCCCACAGACGACTGACTGCAGGTGTGGTGCAAGAGAAAGTGACCTCAGGCCACAGGCACAACCCTTCTCCTTTCTTGTTCTAGAGAACCTAGATGGGCTCCCTCTTTGCTGCCCCTCTGCCAGAAGGTGAGTACATTTCATTTCCAGCAAGTCTTTGGGAACTAGCAAAAAGGTAAAGGGACCCCTAGGGACGTGGGTGGCACTGTGGGTTAAACCACAGAGCCTAGGACTTGACGATCAGAAGGTCGGCGGTTTGAATCTCCGTGATGGGGTGAGCTCCCGTTGCTCAGTCCCTGCCCCTGCCAACCTAGCAGTTCGAAAGCACATAAAAGTGCAAGTAGATCAATAGGTACCGCTCCGGCGGGAAGGTAAATGGCATTTCCATGTGCTGCTCTGGTTCGCCAGAAGCAGCTTAGTCATGCTGGCCACATGACCCGGAAGCTGTACGCCGGCTCCCTCGGCCAATAAAGTGAGATGAGTGCCGCAACCCCAGAGTCGGTCATGACTGGA